CAGGTGTTAGGGAAGGGGAAGCCCCAAGAACGCCTGCTAAGGGCAGCGCCCAGTCCACAAGGAGCAACAAGGAGGAGTCCCAACACTGAAGGAAAAAGACCAAGTTGTGGCAGGTGAGTATTAGGGCCTCTTTCAGGTTGAACATGACCCAATGTAAAGGCCACCAGAACACACCCTGTGGCCAGCTCCGGATGCATGCTCCGAAGTGGAAAGACAGTGCCTCCACAAGGCCAGACAGGTGCAACCGCCTACATTCCTCAATAGGTCAACTGCCTTGTTTATCCCTGTTGACCTGTTCAACCCATCTTTGCCTTTCCCAGCAGTACCCCCTTCCTCAAATTCTCTTCTATTTAAAATCCTTGGTTTTTGCAAGTCCATTCATAACACCTGAGAAAAACTTATGCCTCTCTGAACCAGTTAGTCTCCAGGGTGCTACCCTGCCCTGCTTTCTGCCTCGTCTGTAGGGGTGGGGAGGGTTGTTGTTTTGTGCTGCTATTTTTCTACATCTTTTTAAATTAAGAATCTTAAGTAACCTTCCACTATTTGCTGGAGAACACACCACGTTGTTCAGCAAGTGCAATTAATACAGCAAGAGAGCTTCCTTCACTTCATATGAACTTCTGTATTATAGGGAAGAACACTGGTCTTTTTTCATGCACACTCCTGCATTCCACAATCTTGACAAACTTGAAGGTCCACTTCATGTGCAAAGCACCTACGCATACCCAAATGAATCCTACATTATCTGTTCAAGTGAAATTTTCATTTGGCTTATGTGTCTATGTGCATAGGACCAGTGGCATACTGGGAGATAATAATGGGTAATGATCTGTCATAATGCAAAGTGTGCAAATAAAGTGTTCTTAAACTGAAAACTTGGCCTAACACAATTGAGATTAGTAAAAAAGAATTATGTTAAATCTGGGACAAAAGCTCAAAGTTTCAAGTTCCCATTGACTTCCCCAGAAGTGCTGAAGTTAAAAAAACACCCCCCCCCCCCCCAAAACACTGTTAACCAGAAAACCTGGATCTTTCCTACCCCTTCTATAATTGAAAGCTGCTCAATTCTAACAACTAGAGTTGCTACACACTACCTAAAGCAGATTATTATTCTTAACTCATATGAAAATCATGTCCTAGCATAGTTTTCCCTTCTACATTGTGCTCCAGATATGAATCTGTGAAGTTATTGATATCAAAGCTCTAGAATGTGCCTGGTTGAGCTAGTTCTCCAGCTTGCAGTTCTTGATCTGCAACCAATTTAGGAATATAATTTATTTCAGACTGCTGGAATGATTTATATCCTGGAACATCCTTAGCCATATACATGGCATTGTCTGGTTATGTATGCTTAGTTTAGAATATAATCTAAATTAAAAATCACAATAGAAAAGCTAACTTCCAGGGCCATCAGCAAACCAACTGTAAAACTAGTGCATGACCATAAAATGATGTAAACTGAAGCTGTCAAAATAGTCTTCATGTTACACTGGGTAATGTTACACTCCTGCTTTTTTTGTGCTGTATACCCTGGATGCCAGATCACCTGTATATAGCTTTTTAGGTTTTCTAATGAATTCTAGTTGTGTGGCTTTACCCTTTAATTGGGTTAAAAAACTGCTAAAATATCTCATTAATATATTTCCATTTTATTATCGTCTCTGTTCCTTTCTTTGCTGAAAGACTTTTGTAACATAGTTGGAATAAATACTAATGCCACCTGAGGCCTCAGTAGGGGAACACAAAGCTGTAGATGGGTTGTTTTTCCAAATCATTTAGCAGGACCCCTTAGGAAAAGCCCCCAGCATCCAAAAAACAGGTAGAGAGAACCAAATTGGTCTCCTGTCATTCCCCAAATTATTCAGGGCTACTTTACATTTCATCTTGTTTCACCATTTCTATTTAACTGTAATCCTATAGTTGACGTATTTTCCCTTTACTGGCAGAATCTTCCCTTTCCAATCAACATCCTCTTGTTTACAGTACAGTCTCAGAAAAGGCCTTAGAAATGATGTTTGTGCAAAGTTTGTGTTAAAAAAAAAAATGTCCACATTGTAAGGGGAACATTTCCTTAACCAGAAAATCCATCTCTCCGCTGCAGGAATTAATACTGAGATGAATTACAGCAGTCTGTTTTTCTGACACTAATATACATCACCTGGTGTTTTTTCTTAACACATGTTTTTCTGGTATTTTTCTTAAGAATGTTTTTCTTTAAACAAAGTTTTTTTCCCCTCTGGAAAAAAAAAAAATTGCAGATCCATAGAATATAATGTGCCTTCATTCTATATTTTCAGGTTGAACACTGAAGATGGAACTAGTGGCTTACATAGGCAAAGGGGAAAAGAAGTAGAAATTGATTGGCACAAATGCTTTATATGCCAAGAGGAGTAGAGTTAAGGTAGGGGGTGGAAAAAAGAGAGAAAGCACATCAGGCAACAGAACAAGGTCTGCATCACACCTCCTGGAATTGATCCTTATATCTCTTCCGTTCCATCGATTCATTGACACGTTGGACCTGAATACAGTCTGTGAACTTGGAGACAGATACATGCATGTCATATTCTTTATCATGCAACATGTTATAGCCAGTTCACAAATGCAGACCACATTAAAGAGACTGGAAAAGAAGCAAGAGAAAGATGCCAGTACTGCATATAGATACCATCAATCGCATATGCATATTCTGCATCAAGTTCCCAGGACCCACCAAGCAATTACTCGTCTAGAAGCGCCATTGCTGTGATCTCTTGGGAAAAATATATCTTTTGTCAGGAGGAGAAGACAAAAATTGAGGCAAGTTTGTACATTCAATACTTCAAAAATAAATTATGGACCTTGCAAAAAAGGATGCTACTCTCCGATGCCATTTACCCTGCTGCAGGTGATCTCTGCTTTTGAAGGGAAATATCATCTGCAATCCTACTCAGAGTTTTTGAGAAAGTATCAGAAGACCATTGATACTGGTGAGGTCGAGACCGAATTGTTTGATATTTGCTTCAACAATGTTTTGGAGGAGGCTGAGGGCTGGCAAAAGGTAAAATGTATACAATGTCATCATTAATTGAGAGGTACACCCTTCTGCTCCATAGTGAATTCAGTATCTTCAAAGAAATATGGGACCCTGAAGCAAAAGTTCAGAAATAAAATGAGGAACTCCCTAGGTGATAAAGCTGACTTTGTCCAGTCACTCAATCCACAGGAATCACTTCTGGTATTCCCTGCAGAATCAACTGGATGTGCTGTCCAGATTCTCAGACAAATGGCTCAAGAACTCTCAGGCAGTAAGAGGGGGATCTAAATACTTTAATGGAGGAACCTTCCCAAGGGCCTGCAGACAGACCTCGAGCTGCTAAGTTGCTTGTACCATGTCTCCATGAAAATTAAGACATCAAATCTACCCCAGGACATAACTTTATTGGAGGCATCAACATACAAAGTTCAGAAAAGTATAGTACCTGAGATTTTGTACCCGTTTCTTCGACTGCTATGCTCTGAAGAGGAGTTGGATGAAGACTGTGCGAGTGATAAGCGCCGCACACAATTACTGTCTCTTGCCCAGGACACTGGTTCTTGGCTACAAACAGACGAAGCAAACACCTGGGACTTGGATTGACAATCCATCAAGCAACTAGGTCTAAACAGCTTGTGCAACTTTTGCATGCAGCAGGCGACTGTGTGAGCTATGACAGTCATGCGTGCTGGCACTACCTTAGCAAATGCTGTACTGGCAAGGTATACATGGCACATGGAAACACAATTGTCCCAATGAATTTCAGAAATTATCTGCTTGCAGGCTACATCAGATATGCTAATGACAACATAGACATTTTTGAGGAGACAGGTGATGGGAAGGAGACCTTCCACGCATCTCAAACAGCTGCTTTCTGCAGAAGTGTCATTGGCAAAGAAATACTAGATCTGAATGTGGAATATCAAACTAGCTGATGTGTTGATATTCTCAATAACTTTCCAAGTCATTTTCCAATCCAATATTGACAAGAATAAGACACAAGCATTATTTCAAGAACCTGTCCAAGTTGAATGCCAAATTGAATGATACAAGGCAACACTTTCAATGGTGGTGTCACAGGCAAAGGCTATGGACATTGCATGGGTAATCACCAGACTTCAGGATCCTGACAATCAGCATGTACCCAGCTGGACTGGATTTAACCAATGTTCAAATTGAATACCCCCAGGATATTTGTCAGTCCAATGCCAATAATAAACAAGCTTGCCCATGAATTTGACACTATCTGGACAGTTATTAAGAATTGCCAAAAGATGATATCTGCCTTGCGTCAGAAGTTCACTGTGGTAACATTCGATGAACAGCTATACTTTAAGGCAAAGATGCTGCAATGGTACAAGATGAATGAATGCAAAATCTGGTGGTAATGCTGGGCAGGTTCCACATTCAAATATATTTCCCAAAGGTCTTTGGTCAGTATGTGACCGATTCTGGCCTAAAGGACATTTTTGTAGAAAGTGGTGTTTCTGGCAAGAATGCTGCTGAGGACAGTCTCAAGGGTAAACATTGGAATCAAATGATACATGCTCACAAACTCACAACTGAGGCACTATGGAGGATCCTATGGTCTACCATACTACAATGGGCTGATAAGTCACATGGAACTAGATGCTTCAGTTGTGCATGTGGCTCAAGAACTTGCCAAGGCATTCAATGATGCAGATGACCAGGCTTTGGAAACAGCAATGCACAATCTGCTCCCCAAAATTAAGAAAGTGAAAGTACTGGTTGTTTTCCTGGGCTGTGTCAAATGCAATACATGAATCTTGTTTCCATTCTGCTCCGGTTTACAAGGGTTATGAGAGAGGGCAACTGGGACTTGTATCTGGAGTCATTTGTCAAAATGTTGCCTTAGTTTGCCACTTTTGACGATGTGCATTCTCTGAGATAGGGATGTGTTTTCTTGGCAGGCATGAAGCAACTGAAGAACACAGCACCTGAAGTGTATGCTGGTTTCTAGTCCGATGACTTAATTGTCCAAGAAATAAACCAGAGGTTCAGCCAAGTTCCAGATGACCAGGGACGCGAGTATGTAAACAAAATTTGCAAAATTGCTGAGGGACTGATTGGAATAACTCGATCAGAGTCAGCGCTCAGTCAACGGGGATTGACATATGTGGAGAGAGCAAGGCTTGCCAGCGACACCAGAGAAATGCTTGGAGTAATAGAGGAAAAGGGATCACACAAAGTATGAGGGAGAAATAGAAGACGAAGGGATGAGGATGATGTTAAAAAGCGGTCTACTAAGTTCCAGTTATTCAGTGTTCAACAGGGAATCCCCGAGCTGGTGTGCCTCACTACTGGTGACGTTCCACAAGAAGCAATTATACAAGACCTGCTGAATGCACAAGTTAAGACAAAACATTATAGAGACATTTGTTGCTGATCGACTTGTGCATAAAACTGTCAGCGTACATGCACTAATCCCAAAGTTAAAAAAAACTCTTGCTTCTATATATACACACACAGTAGTTAGCAACAGAAAAACAAACAACAGACCTCAGTCATCAGAGCCAGTCATGATCTTTTCAGACATCTACTTGTATCTCTAGATGCTGGCAGGGATATTGATGTCAATAACTCCTAAGGCAAGAAATTTGTACTGTACTGCTAACACTGGCTGTGGTTCAGGCCATGAGAAAACCCAAGGATGCAGTGACCTGTGGAGACTATGAAGATGCTTTTGTGGTAAATATCATGTCCCATTTCAAGGAATTTTGCAGCAGGGTACATGTCATGTTTGACTGCTACAAACACCCATCAATCAAGGATGTTACTAGAAAACATTGAATTGGGAAAGGAAGGGAAATAAAAATTAGCAGCAGGGACATCAGTAAATGTTCTCCATGGCACAGGCAACATGAATCCAAGGAAAACAAGGCATCACTTGTTATGTTCCTCAAAAGGGAACTCTTACAGCAAGCATCGCATGGTGACAAAGAACTAATAGTCAGCAGTGGTAATGATGGTTATGCTGTCTTCTCAACTGAAAGAAACATGGACCACCTCCACTCCACACAGAAAGAGGCAGACACCCACATGATCTTGCATCTCTCTGAGGCAATGTCAGAAGGATATGACAGTCATTGTCACAAACAGCAATACAGATGTCCTACTACTACCGATTGCATTCTGGCCTTGTCTCAGTAGTGAGCTGTGGATGAAAGCAGGCACATCAAGAACTCAATGATACGCTGCTGTGCACAAGGTGGAATGCTGTGATGAAGTAAAGGATGGACTGTTGGGCTTTCATGCCCTCGTGGGGTTGGATACCACAAGCCAACTCGCAGGAATTTTTAAGTTTGCTTGGAAGATCTGTGAAACTTGCTTCAAATTGAGACAGGAGACATCTCACACACCAGATGCCCAAGTACTGGCCAGAGCTGAGGAATTTGTATGTAGATTGTATGAACCTACCAGGGAGACAGATTCCATTCACACTGTGGTGTGCTCAATTCAGAAAGGTGCAAGCTTGAAGACCTGCCACCAACACAAGATACACTACTTCAGCACATCCACCAAGCCCACTACCAAGCCTTTATTTGGCAAAATGCAGTGGTGACAAATCCACAGATGCCAAGACCCATAAAAAGTGGATGGCACATCGACCATGGCATGCTGTTGCCTTTACTGATAACAAAAGGCCTTACACAGCTGAGTGCTTGGACATCACAACCTGTTGATGTAAAACAAGTAGACATCAATGTATTGCACAATGTCCTGTAGTAGACTTAAATAGAGCAGCAGCTTGCAAATGTATGAATTAGTGCCAAAACCCCCAATAAAGACCATGACAGTGACTAGATTTATATGTGAATTGAACTCATCAAGTGATGTGGTTTAGAAAATGTAATGTTTACTTGAGGATTGGATTTTAAATCAGGAGGGTGGGGAAAAAAAAAAAAAAAAAAAAAAAAACAAGCCCCCCCCCAAAAATCATTGTCTATTACTCTGTTGATTTTGGACTGCTAACTCCAGGGGCTCTAGTACTCGTTAGGTAGCCTCTTATAGCATAGGATAATATTTGTGACATAAGAACATTAAATGCATCTTCATTTTCCTATACAGGTAGTCCTTGATGTATAGCGTTTTGAGTTGCAACGTTTTGTACTTGCGTTTATAAATTGATACCGTTTCAACTTTCTGATGTCAGTTTCGACTTTACAACGCTTGATCCAATGCCACACCATGTCAGCAAACAAGTTCGCTGCATCACCCATCTCCCTGGAGAACATCTGTCCAAGCTTCCTTGGACACTTTAAGTAAGCAGACAAGATTCCAGAAAAGCCTGCAGTCAAGACTCCCAAGAAAACTCCAGCCAAGAACCCTTCAAAAAGTCCAGCAAAGTCACCTCAAAGAAGTCCTTTCAAATCAATATGATTGCTATTTACAATCTAAATATATTGGTATAGCTAGATTACTCATCTATAATGGAGTACAAAATTCCTGGGTTTTTTCTTTTTTGAAAATAGGGCATCGGGCCTTGGTTCAGGAGCCAACCCCCCATTATAACATTGCTTCTTATGGGGGGGGGGGGAAGGGAGGGGGGAAAGAAAGAGAGAAAAATCTATGTTCACATTGTAACAAAAAAAAAAAAAAAAAAATTGTGCAAACTTCACCTTTTTCAGTATCTGCACCCAGACTAGTAACAGGAGTCTCCACCCACTAACATCTAACCAGCAATTCCAAGCCAGGGTGTGGTGACACACTGGGGTGCCTTGAGATCCTTTGAAGGGTGCTGCAGGGCACACCATTAGGTGTGCAAACATGATTCACTATATCCATAGATTTCAAACAGGAATACAGTGTTAAAAACATTCTTACCTGTTGTGGTCAGTTTTTTGCAACAGAAGATTTCCTTATTATTTTCCTACAGTCAAGGATCAAGGGAAAGTTATGAACTGACATTTTTCGAGGGGTGGCTTAAATCTGAAAGGGTTGAGAACCACTGATTTAAACTCTGCAGAATGACACTATGAACCATCCACTGCCACAGGTTTTCGAACATTCTTCTAGCATGAGACCAGAATGACAGCTCAGGTTAAAGGTAGACTGGCACTAGGCCAGATCCGCCTCAGCCGCTTCTCTTCGCTGTCCAATTGTGGACCATAATAGGCAGAGCTCCCCCATCCACTGAAGTTGTGGGTGTCTAGCTGCAGGCAGAGCTCCTTGTTACCAAATGCTGCTGAGACCACAGCTCTGCAAGCTGAATCTAAAGGTCAACCCACAGGCTGTAGGTTGCCAGCTCTTGCACTGCCACACAACCTTTAATGGTCTCTGGATCAAAACATCTTGCATATTACCCTTACACCGAGTCAGAACAGTCCATCCAACAGTACATGTGAGACTACACTGAAGGACAAGACTAATCCATAGGTGTCCAGAGAGTTTTTTTTTTTGCGCATTACCCAAAAATATAAGAGGGAAAGTGATCAAATAACAGCAGCCTCTTATTCTCCCCTTTGGTAAAGCCCATCATTTCTTTTCTGTACCACATAAGTCTATGACTAGATTGCCTAAAACATTCGTTAGTGTTCAGCTTAAGCTTTTCAGCATCAGTTTTTTGTTCCTCTGCAGAAGGAGCTCCAAAATGGACAGTCATCTACTTGAATGCAGTTTCTCTTGTTCCCTATTGATGATTCAGCTCAGTACAGTAGCATTGTCTGACCTCTAAAGAATATGCAGATTTCAGACAAAGATTTATTTTAATATATTTTAAGAAAATCCAAATACTAGGTACTTTTTTTTTTTTTTTTTTTTTTTTTTGCAATAGCCCCATGACTTTGAGCCAGAAGAGGCCTCATTAAGCTTTGCAACACAAGGAATATCTGAGTTTTTCATTGTATGGAGTCTTTTACAGCAAGACCGTCCAACTGGCACCCTATGGGCCACACGCAACCCATGAAAGGTTAAGTTGTGGCCCCCACCCAGGAGCCACTTTCCCCACCAGGCTCCCCTTCTTTACTCCAGGTTCTGCTTCCATCCCTTGGGGTGGGATGTAGCAGCCACAGGGCCCAGGGTCTCTCATACAACACAGTGAAGCAGAGGAACGTAGGGGACACCAGAGAGAGTATAGGATTAATTGTAGCAGGCAGCATCTAGAACACAAAACAGCCCCAATATCCAAGACAGCCAAGTTGAAAATCCCCTATTCCTACTCACCCAAGAAAGAACTAGGCAAACTTTATGAGATCATATACAAAATATATCTTTCGAAATCTGACCGTACCTGAAGCATGAACTAAGCTTCTTTGAAACGGACTACTAGTTTCCTAGCATTTGGGCAAGGAAGACCACAGAACAAGAGCCAAAACAAATGTTTACAAGCTGCAATACACAATCTACAGGAAAGATAGTGACTAGTTACTGGTCTAAAGCAGGGGTGGCCATCCTGTGGCATAGGCAATCCGTGTGTGGCAGAACTTGGGCAGAGTGCAGGGCTAATTTGTGACATGCCTGACAAAAAGGTTGCCCCCCCCCCAAACCCAAGCTATCTTGGTACCTTAAAGTACTATAATTATCAAGCTAAAAACCCTCACACTGCCCAAACAAGTACTTCCATATGTAGTATTACCGGGCAAGTTCACATCTTACTTTTACCCCCGTTTGGACCTCTCCTCCCCCTACCAAAGCATCACCACTTGGATACTCCCCCCCCCCCTTTCAGGTTCTGCTTCCTACTTTTGGGGATAGGGCAGTCCATAGCTTGGAGAGAAGGAGGGACACAGGGGAAGGAAGTGTTCAAGTGGTGATACTGGGTTGGGGGTGGTAGAGAAGAAGGAAAGAGGTCCAAATTGGGGTAAAAATAAGATGTATTATAAGGCAAGGTCACTATATATTCAATAGGAGGCAGAATGATTTGGAAGGAGGGGGAGGGGCAACAGCAAGATTCGACTGCTCTGCTATAGGGGATACACCAGTGCAAGGCTTGAATGCATTTGAATACTGTGACAAACACTGACACCATCCTGTAGATCTGAGTATTAAGACGACAGACTTCTGAACACTTCCTGAATTGGTTTTAAAACACACTTAAAGTGCTCAAGGTTCCCCTCCCTACAAATAAATGCTAGAAGGAATTCATTACACCAAATCGCCATCTTTTAAGTTTGGTCCTTCCAAGATAGCACATTTTCCATTCCAATTCCATTAATGAATAAAGTAAAGGGAATGGCAGAGTGCCATATTCAATATAATCCATTGCAGAATCACAAGCAACTAAGTAGATTTAGCAAGGCTAGCATTAAGAAATGACCTGTCATAATGTTTACTTACTTCATACTGGTTAAGTCATCACTTCTTTCTATTTGATGGAAGCTACTCTAGTCTGCCCTCAATATTTCCAAATCTATAATACAAGGGAGGGGAAAGAGAGGCACCTCAAAAAACACAAGAATATCATGGACTGAAGTTACTCTGGTTGTAAAGTAACAGCTAGCACTTTCTGCTTTGGTTAAAACAAGTTTCTATTAGTAGATCTCAACTCTCATTTAAAAATTATGTTCCAGTACACCATGTATTTAGGCACCCTAAATGCAGGGCTGTTAGGCTTTCTTCTGCACTCCACTAATGAGCACTTCATCTTTCAAAGCCACTGCATTGGTATCCGACTTCTTAACCTACTTCACTGGAAGTGGCATTGCAGTAGTATTCATATGTCCAGCACATTCAAGTACAAGTAAGAGACTAGCTTTACGCTGCACAAATCAGCAAGAAGCTCATACATGAAGCAATGTTTTAATTGGAAGCTCGTATAAAGGTTAAAGCAACAGCCTACTGTATAAAGGAACAAACATTTTTATGATGTCGTCAAGGTATGCAGAGAAGCAAAGACCTGTAAGAAGTGCTGCAAAAAGTAGCACAATGTAAGTTTTCTGAAGTTACAGGATTGAAATCAACACCACAAGACTTTGAACAAAAAGAAAAAGTCCAAACTGTAAGCTTTTAAACACCTCCACATTCCCCTCTTTAATATGGTGTTTTGCACTGTGTACATGAACAAAAACTAAGCAAAAAGGAACTTTAGCCAAACTCCCCTTCCTCCTCCAGCTTTATTGATAGTTTAAAATTACACTTCTATGTTCTAGGTCTTCAATTGCTTTTACCATCTTACTTTAAAAACTGATTACAAGCAAATGAAACTCAGTTGTCTAAGTGATATAGTATACAAAAATAACATCTTGATTTCTGTGAAAATGCATCTTTGCAACTCCTGAATAGCTCCAAATTGTGTATGCTATGAGAACTGATGTTCTGGGTTTTAGATTTAAATTTGCAATATTCATTCAAAAAGCTTCCCATTACTTTCTGTATCTCCAACATCAACATTCTTTGACTGAATTACTGTTACTTTTAAAGTTTTATTCCTGATTTCTCTCTCTCTCTCTCATGGCCAGTAACAGGCATGTGCATCTTGTTTGTTTACTCCCACACAGCTATATGCTCTAGGTAAGGCCTGATATAGATATTACTTGGTGTTGTTAACAGCTACTGAGGTCAGACAATTCAAGGCCATTATAATAAAATTAAGAGTTACTTGTGGAAGTTTTGACACTTCCAGGATTTCTTTTGTCCTGCACAGAATCACTTCCATGTAACCCAGAGAGGGTTTGCTGGTCTGACTCAACTCTTCCCACTCATCAATCCCTATTCACCAGTGGCACGGAAAGGGGGTTCTTTAACAAAGCATTATACATAACACCTCTACCAAACTAAACATAAACATTTTTTTGTAGTTAAATGCAGAAAGTTGATTTTTTCCACCCCTTTCCTCCTTTTACATGGCAAGTAAAGCTCACTGGCCTGGGAGTAGCCTCTATCTGCCAACCTTTGGCCAGTGAAGAGGATTCAGAGAAAAATAATACAACCATCAATCAGAAAAAGGAGGGGCGACAAAGGAAAAATTATTAGGCTGTAGCTTCAATTGTGCATTCCCGTGCAAGGTGCCCTGACTCTCCGCAGCGATAGCAGTTGACTTCACTTGTCTTGCTGCAGTTGATGGCCACATGGCCAGTTTCACCACACCTGGGAGAAGGAGAAAGAAAAAAAAAAGTTATATGCAAGCTTTAGACTTGTTAGGCTTTTAGGCAAGTCAGGACAAACGAATCCTGCACTGGTTATAAAGTGTACTAAATGATACACTGGGTTGTCCTCCAATTCTGAAGGTGACATTTGCGTTGTGCAGCTGTTCAAGCTGTAAATATTACCTACTGACATCATCTGTACTAAAAGTTAGGCACGTGTCTCTGGTGTAGAACCAAGACAAGTTAGGCAGCCTGACTACAAGCTTAAGTCAGATGCAGCCAGAAGCAGTAAAGCTGAACTGCATTCTATTCTAAATCTTGCTGCACTTACACCGAAGCACCCCACTAAATAAGACTTGAACAAGAGGTGGGTCCCCAGAAGGCAAGACTTCCCCATGACAAATATGCCTCTTCAATTAAAGTCTGGTAGTACTCTAGTTGCCATTTGGAGCATCCAGTAAAGCACCAGTGTTGTGTGTTACTCCACTACCTAAAGACAGTTGAGCTTTTTCCCTTCCCCTCCCCCAAAACAGTAATTATGGCATATTTTTAAATTTATAGGCATGAACTTGGATCAGTGTATTCCCTTTTAGGATTGGTATACAGTAATCCTTGCATCACTGACGGCAATGACTTTAATGACACTTACCTATAGCATTTCACTTTGGTGCAGTCTTTTTGAATGTGTCCAAACTCCCCACAAGAGTAGCACTTCTGCTCATCTGCATGGTCACAGTCACGAGCCAGATGACCTGGTTTGCCACAGTTATAGCAGCACTGCTCTCTCTCTCTCTTCGGCTCCTTGCAGTCCTTAGCAATATGGCCACCTCTGCCGCAGTTATAGCAGGCTTCCACAATAAGAAAAGAGACAGAACAAGACTATAAAACCTTTATTAAGTTAATTCTAACATGCATTTACTAGGAACCAATTGGTTCTATGTTCAAATACACAAATGTCATGTGTAGCTTGTGATGTTTGGTTCCTCCCCCGCCCCACCATCCCCTCTTAATACTTACCATCCTCCTGAAGATCACAGTCCTTGGCAAGATGGCCAGACTCACCACAGCGATAGCAGATGTCTGGGAGAGATGAAGACATGAACTGGAAGCCTGTTTAAGAATGAGAAAGTTTTAGTGACTAGTTATACATCATAAACAAAAAGTAAATACTTATTATGCCACTACAATTGTCCTTTTTGCAATACACCAAGGAAATCCTTCTTACAGGTATCATAATACAGTAAAAGCTGCATTATTCGGCACTTTACCATCCGGAATGCTCTATTAACTGGCATCCTGCCATTGAAGGAAGATATCTATTGCCATCTCATATCCAGAAAAATTCCAATAGCCACCCGGCATCTTGCCATGCCCTTCTCATAGATCTGTTGTTTACGGAAGCTTCAGGGTGCTGCTGAGCGGCGTCACTAGCGACAGTCTCAACTGTAAACATCTGCCATTGTCATCACATTGTGCTTGTGCTGGATCATGACTCTCAGCCAGCTGGCATATTGGATTAACCAGCACCCCCCACCCACCATGGATGCCAGATAAACAGAGCTTTTACTGTACTATGAAATATTGGAGAAAGTAGCAGTAGGCATCATTAAAAAAAAAAAAAAAAAAAAAAAAAAAAAAAAAAAAAAAAAGAAACAAAACAAGCAACACGAACCAATTAAGTACACTTAGTACATCATAAGTACAGATAATCAAATTAAGAGAGTGTTGTGTCATTTCTACAAAGGCTATAAAAATAAAGTGTACAAGTCTTACAAGATGCAAACTATGCTTCAATGAGTGCAAGTTAGAAATTTTTACAAAGGCAGATTACCTCTGCCACGGCTTCGCATCCCACGACCACGTCCAATACCAGTAGGGCATTCCCGAGCCCAGTGGCCAGTACGTCCGCATTTGAAGCACTCGTTGCTGCTCATCGTTGTGGTTCAGTTCTCTAGGTATAAGTGGAGGATATTAAGTTTAAGTAAACTAACTCTGGTTCTTCTAAAGGCTGTATTTTAATGTAGTCTCTCAAGCTTGCTGCATTTTCAACCATAACAAGTCAAACATAACAGCTGAAAGATACCTCACAACATTTTAGTCCCTCAGATAGGATTCTGCTGCATCTTTATTCATTTGGCTATGAAGCTGTCTATTTACAGGGATATGTTTGACTTATTCTTATTTATGATGGACCATAAACTATAAACGTTGGCCATGCAAAGGGAACCCTGCTTTTTTTTTTTTTTTTTTTACAGTTTAGTAAGCTCACAATGAAGCTACTGCTTAAAAGAAAAAAAAAAATTCAGAAAAGCAAAACTGTACTGTTTAAACATACAATTGCATTTCCTCGGGAATCTTAAATTTTCGCCTGGATTAACATTTCTCACTTTATGGATATGAAAATAAGCTATTTTCATTTCTGGGGTCCCTTACATCACACACCTTTGCAGTGTCAAGACTGAACTCTGAGGAGTTTGTTCTGTTACCACACATTAGGTACTATTTCACCTAAAAAATTAGGCAATACACTTACAAAGAACAATTTAACTCGGGTTACCAACCATAATCCTACTGAAGCTACAGAACCTTCCTACTCAAGAAAGTAGCTAGCATAACCTTTTGCATACATACTCCTACTTTTCCCAGCAAAACTTATAAACATCTCCAAGTAATAAATACAATGCTTTAGAAAAAGTTATTAGACAAAAACCTAAAACATACAGTGGAAGTAGAAAAGGAAGTATATCTTTCAATGTTAAAATAGATGCATCCAAATCCACCTCATTCATTACATGAAGTTTTGCCTCCTAACATTTGTTGCAAAGACTTTGTGACATACCAAAATAAATATGTTTCCATGAAATCCAACACAGCCCAATAGTCCCAGCTTTTGTATTACTCAGTTGTTTTAAGTCTGCTTATTTATATCAATATGTCCTTGTTAACTACTATAGTTGGCAGGAGCGAGCCAGTTGCTGACAATACAGCTAAGGCTTGAGGGGATGTGTCAAATTTACCCCAGCCCCTGGATCAAATCCAGGCCATGGGCAGGACCTAAAGGGCCAGGAGCCACATTTGGAAGGCAGCATGCATCTGGGGGCAAGCCACAATGCAGGGCTAGTCTCAGCAGCACTACTACTGACTTCAAGCAGTAGCATGGGTTTGGGGGGCTGCCACCAATGGCCAACTGGAATCTAGGGATTCCTAATGCTGCAGGCCCCCTTCCCTCCCACCCCAACTTCTGGCAGCCTGCCAGACGGAGTGGTTCTACAGGCCAAGTTTGGCCCATGGGCCACACACTTGGCATCACTGCTCTAATGCTTCATTCCTATTAACACTTCTGTATTCAGGCCACTGTTTACCATAGCCTCACCTGTCCAACAGCTTCTCTCCCTACATACATTTTTTGTGCCCTTCCTTCCAGCCTCCTTGGCAGTGTCCATCTTGTTTTCACATGTGTTTCTCAGGAGTTCTTAAACCTATTTACTCCAGGAGCCATTTACTTGAGTGACTTAAGTCAACTCCTCATGTTTACCATGGTAAAAAAAGTTACACAGAAGCTTTGTATTTGGACATTTCTTCCTTCAAACAAACAACCCACCCATGGGAGTTGGCAAATGCCTTTTGAGAGGTTCTGTAGTTCTCACTTCAATTTCTCGTTTTTCCCTTTAATTATGTTAGCAAAATGTTAAGAGTATTGGCTTTAGAAGCTCTTAAAAGATATGATTGCTGATAGCTGATAAAGTGGTCAGCAAACTCATTTAAGATGAATAAATTCCACAACATTTCACTTACAACTAAAATAAATTAAACACTTGAAGTTTAATTTAGAATATTTAAGGCTCCTATTTCAGGTGACAAGGCAGGTACTTGATTGAATACACTGCTGTTTATACTTGTTTATAATGGTAATCATGTTGATACTGGTAAACAGGGAACAAGCAAAGACTGGTTTCTCCAGTTGGCCTAAGTGCACACCGAGTCTTTCGCTTACATTGCTGTTTCTTGCTCTGGTCTGAAATAGACTCATTCTTGCTCCTGCAATCCTGCTTGAACCTCAGACTTGAGAGACTTTGATACCCACAG